TGTTTTTTTTTTTTTTTTTTTTTTTTTGTTTATTTCATATACGCGATGCTAGAGGCTCGCTTCATCGGTTTCAAGAACCGATATGGAAGGAATAACGCTGGCCGGTTAAGGAAACAAAATTTCGGTCAGTTAACGCGGCACTACGGTAGAACTCTGTTTATTCATAGGAATTTTATAACTGATTTAACCGTGTATTTTGGGTAAGTTGAATAATTTTTGTTTAGATACATACGCAGCCTTTCGCGATAGCTTACGTACACCTGTCCAACTTTGCGTATCTGGCTTACCGAACAAAACAAAAACGTACTTTGTTACAAAATTACTTACGCTTGGATATCGATTGTTCTAAAAGAAATTACAAAAACTGAAACCTTCGACTCGCCAAAATATTCGGATAAGATCAGGTCAGAAAATTTTAAAGCCCTTGGTTCTTTAGACGATAAGAATATATAAGATAATAATGGTAGAACGTTATCGTTATTAATACTACGAAAAATACTAATATAATATCAAGTTTATTATTTTTATAATTTCGCGAAGATACAACACGTGTGTATAGTTTTTGTAACACTGTATTCTATATTTCTGTTCCTCTCTTAACAAAGGTGAATATGAATAAATCGTTACTATCCAAACCAACAGCGAAGCCTTCGAGACTCTGAATAAATCGTGTTACATTTATCAAAGGATTCGTACAGCTAACGTTCTTAATATAATCTCTTATATCTAAAAGGCGTGTAACGTTGTATATAGACTTTTACGACTGATCGTAGATAAAAGCTTGTTTTTCTTGTGTCGTATAGATTCGTTCGTCATAGCCATATCATTCGCGTTTTATACATTAGTCGTCCGTGGTCGAACGTTAACAAACTATACGGGCGTGCTCGATTTCGATTTTCTACGTATCGTCTCTTATTATCTAAACTAAGAAGAATGGTAGGAGGTAGCTAGTGAATTTGTATCGCGGAAACCTCTACTATTATCTAAACTGTTCTATCTCCACGTTTGGATAAACGCGACTCTACCGTATATACACGTAGTACTTGAAGCACCGCTCACGAGTTGGTCGTTCCCATCGCTACGATCGAGACTACGAGACGGTGGTCGTATGGGCAAAACGCGACGGTAGATCGACAACTATCGCGAGATATACCTAGGATCGGGCAAGATGATCTTTTTGCTCGCACGAGCAGCCGGTGTGCTCTTGCTCTTCTCCATAGCCATCAAGTAGCTGACGTCGGCCAGCACCGCCTCGAGGTCCGCCATTTTCCTCGGTGGTCTCTAAATCTCTCGATGTTGGACACGGCTCACCCTGGAGCTGTTTTCTCGACGACACTCGGTTCACTGTCGCGTACGTGTTCTTCTCACTGTCGCGACGCCGGGAACGCTACCGACGCCGACATTCTGATCGAACGACCGACGTGCAACGAACTTCGCGAGACTGACAGCTCCGTCGGGTATCTACGCGCGATTTCTACCGAGGGAACCACTAATTCGACGAGCTCTCTCCGCTCGAGGTTAACGACACTCCCTTCGAACACAACACAATCACCCGCGCAACTTGTTTACCATTCACGCGGGCGAGACAGAGTCGATCTTCCAACTGCTCATTGTGAGTGCTTTTTAGTTGACGAAAACGATCGGGAAACGTGCAACCGAGACGCGGTTTTATACACGGTCATTCACGACAATGGGCATGGACAAAGTCGTAGGGAAGCTACTGCTTACCGACTGACAGCTAGAGAGCTACGAAGCCTCGAGCCCGCGCGCATTTGTGTGCTGATTGGTGGATTGCTCTGTGTTTCGTTCGTCTCTCTTTTTCGCAAGCTTGCTAGCGACGCCTATCATAGGGATTACGAACTAATTTGATTTCACTAACAGTTCCCTTACCGTTGGATTATCATAGCTTTTCTTCGGCTTTTCTCTACTTTTATTCGAATATGTCCATTATTCTTTCGAAAGGATTATGGCAAGTTAATGTTATTATCTTAAACTCCGAATTTTTATAGATATTCATACTTTTATGATTATAATTAAATTAAAGAAGCGCGACTTAGAGATTCGTTTAACTCACTAAATATACATACATACTCGTCGAGCACGTTATTTTGAATATTTTATATATGTGCATATATATATATATATTTATTTATTTATTTATTTATGTACAGAATATACATATCATATTCTGTACATGAATATAGTAGTTTTATTTATATTATTTTTATCCGTTGGATGGCGACTTTTTGAAAACTACTTTTAACACCAATGCAAAACTGTTACTCATATTCGTTATATTCGATTTAAACTCAACTAAACATCAACGATAGTTTGACCTATTCGATCGGACAAATATTTGCAAATAATCAAACGTGGCAAATATTTGTATTTCGAGCTGGTAAATTTATATGCGCGTATTATGAACGAGTGAGTGCCAAATTCAATGTTCAGTCAGAGGAAAACGTAACGAAGATTATATCGTTACGAATGCGTATTAAAATTTGAAATTTATTTTCGATGACACGAAACGTTACGTGACGTTACCATCGTAACTAATCGTAGGAAAAATCACCAGAAACGTTAGTCCTTCGACGAGAGTCGATTAGTCGATGAAATTACATACGTACCAGTGACTAATTAGTAATTGTAAGTCGGTGATATATACCAACGGACGTACTAGGAAACTTTTTTATCCGATATCGATAAGAAAGGTGACTACTATCTATCGTTTTCGAATTAACTCCGTGTACGATCGTTATATATCTTCGAAAACCTTTTCTTTAAAGAATCCAAGAATTAGAATTACAAAAGATCGTACGAAATAAGAAATGTGATAGTTTGTGAATACCACGCTGCGTTTTATACGATTCGGAACGACTGTAAATATAACGTATCGGATTTATAGAATCGAAGGACGAACGATTCTGAAACACGCGGTTGAAGTTTTCCAAAACTGATCGTCACTTTTAATATGGGGAAATTATAGCCTCAAATTCGTTAAATGGCGATAAAAGATGAGTCTAAAAGTAATATACGTAATCGATGTAATAGCATGAATGCCTTGACACCGAATAGAACGTCGAAAACAAAGTTTTAAGTTCAATTCCGTCTGCAATGGTACGTTTATTTCACTTTAACAACAACGTCTATCCATAAATCACGTTCAACAGCGTGCTGCATATTATTATACAGTACATCGTTTATTTAAATTCGTGATCGCTATTTATTTACCTAAACAATGTATAACAGTGCAATTTATTATATTTTCTGGTAATTCGTTTCCTGTATGTTATTAATAGCGTCGATGAAGTTGAGCCAGCCTTGCCGAAAGCAATAATAATTATAATGGATCAAGAACGAATGTATATGGATGACAACGTAACTGTCATTAGACAAATGTATGCAAAATTTCCTTTAAACAAAAATAAAAGAGACGCAGTAAGTTGTTTGAAACTAATTGCGCTTATTTGCGATTTAAGAGAACATCTTTGGGATCGTACTGTGATAAATTAAATTTAAACAGAAATTTTTCGAAATTTAGCGGTTAAAGATTCGTTTGTTTTCGCATAAACTGATCGCCGATTATAGAATCATTTGTTAACAAACGTTTCGCTACTCTTAAGAAATCACAAGCAACACGTTGAGTAATTAATAATAATTGCCTTAATAACGATTAATAAAAATTGCCCACCTGGCAATGTTTTCAGGATTAACGAAAATTAAGCAACGCAAAGTTTATTTTATCGATATTTCGACCGATAAAACTTTAGCCGATAAAAGGATACTGTTTTAGAGAGGTCGGGCAAGATATTCTTTGCATTTGTTACACGGAGACCTATGACTTTTTGGCCGCTGGCCTTATGGATGGTACGATAAAATTGTACAAAACCAGATCGGACGAAGTGTTGACGCTGCGTGACACTGAAATGATGCAGAAACCAAGTCCGACGACCGCGATTAAGCACAGACCTGTCCACAAATCTCATCCAATCTCGCGTACCCTCCTTGCAACCTGTTAGTACTCATTGTCAGTTTATTTTTTATATTGCTGTGAAGCGATAAAGGATTAATTTTTCGCTCGGTTCTTTCTCCTTTTACCGTATTTCGTTGGTCCAGATGCTAGTGGCTGCGTCAAATGCTGGCATTATCCAACTTCACAGTGTCTTTACACGGTACGGGAAAAGAGGCAGGTGCTGGGTTTAGCTTACCATTTTCGTCTGCCAAAGTTCCTAACTTTAGGCGACGATGCGAAGCTTATTCTTTACGACGAAGAAACCAAGACGCAGGAAAGAGTATTTCACGCAAGGTTTCCTATCATTACTGAAATATATTTCATCATTATTGTCTTGGTTGCAGTGGAAAAGCAAAATGTAAAAACAGTATTTCAAAGTTTTCCTTGTTTTTAAAACGTCTTTCAACCATAATATAATTTAGGCTGCAATAATTTAGACATGACAACGAATCGAACAGTTCTATATAGAATCGATGCTATTATATATCAGTGCTATAGAGCTGTGTATATTTGTCGATCATCGGGTACGACAATCTCTACAGACGATTCAAACGTTTTAGATCAAAATCAATTTGTTTCGACGGATCTACGTCTTGTAACAACGTCCTAGAGAGTGGAAGACTTCAAAGTCACCTTGATCTCGTTAAACGTGATTGTAGCTCGTTTCTGATCAAGACTAACTGCTCAGGGTCGCTTCGAATCAAATAAACTCGCACCAGGTGTCCACTGACGGTAGATTTCCTAGTTAAACAGATAGATTGATCGCTCCGCTACGACACATTTAACTCGATATAAAATTCATTTCTTTGTCACTCGTATCGCGAGTGGTCCACAACTTCCAAAGACACTTGACGAAAAATCTTTCGTACGATCACATTTCTCTGGTTTCTCTTAACATGTACAGTAGTACTAATAGACTACTAAGAAACGGTACTAACAGAGGATCGGTAAAAAGGAACTAAAATCTTGCATATCGTTATCAATATTCTCATCGCGGTATAAAATAATCGTGTAACGCACGTGTAACGCACAACGCGCGTAAGATAATGTGCGCTTTTATTCGCGTTCTCTTCAGTTACGTTTCATTTACAAACGGAACGACTCGGCGACCATCTTAAACGCAATTACCCGCCACGCGGACAATAGCCAACATTCGTTCCTATTTACAAACCGTAGTTTCGCTAATAGTTATTTAGAACGATTTCAGTTTACGTTTACGTTTCGATTTGTACAACTTTATCCAACAGGATAGAAAAATATCACCGACTACAAGTCATACACACTTTTTTCGATCTATGTAGAGAAAAACAAGCTTTTTAGCGGTATTCGGCGTTCACAGTTGACTGAAATTTTATTCGCTACAACTTGCTTCACCCTCTTTCTATTTACAGCATCTCTTCGAATCCCGATAGAAGTTTCACATACAAATATTTCCTTTTCGTACGTTCTCTTCTCTTATTTATTTATTTCCTGCTTTTTATCACATTCTAGCGAGTCATTGGAAGCCATGGACGGTCATAAATCTAGAGTGTTCAGCGCGTGTTTCAACCCCAGATCGGCACATGAGCTGATAAGCGGTGGTTGGGACAATACTATTCAATTTTGGGACACTAGGCAACCATACGCACTCAGGAGAATATCGGGTGTGCATATGTGCGGCGATGGACTCGATATCAGTAGGAATGGAAGAGAGGTACACGTATTTATATCCAGAATTCAAAGTCCAACTATATCCACCTTAACACGTTCTTATTCACACGGCAAATATATAAAAATTGTAGGAGTTTGTCTCTTCAAACCAAATTCTGGTCCTGAAACGACGCATCCGCTCTCTCCATACGCTTTTCGTCGCGTTTACTTCTTCAACAAGTCGGAAATCATTCGCGATATCGGATAATCGATATTTTACATTTGTCAATTCTCGTACGGTAAACGGTGGGTCAGTTTGATTTAATATTACTTGATATAGAAAAGACGATTCTATAGTTCCTTTTCACCCAAGATGAGAGTAGAAAAACATTAAAAGAGGGCAGTATACGTATTTTCAAAATTTGTATGTATTGTAAATATCGCATCTTTTCTTCGGACAGTAACATTGTACTTTTCTCGAATATAATCGAATATCGACGTTTCTCATTGTTTTGTCGCATACAAAAATATGCGGTACCGTAATTTCTTGTTCGATTTATTCGTCAGCGATCACATTTTAACAATAGTTTTACGTACAGATCAACGAGAAAAATTGATTTATCGCACCAAAATCCACAGTTCTACGTAACAAAGAGTGCAATTATGTTTGGCAGTAACATAGCATCGAAAAAGCAGCTATAGTCTTTCTCCGGTTTACAAAATCATACGCCGTAATTCTGTCAAAGTGGATACAAAAATTCGAAATTTTATCCACAAATTATTTGAATATTGTTCCAACGACACAAGAAAGCAAAAATGCATTAATACTGTTTATAGAGATAGCTAAATTAGAAATATATAATTTGTATAAAAACATAAAAGGAACGCATCTTTCGAATTAGCAAATGAATCGCCAAATTTTTCAACGTGTAACATTAAATTTCTATATACATACTGGAAAAAAAATGAGCCAAATTGACCCAACACTCACCCTACCGGGATTTAAGCCATCATCATGCAACAATCTCTCGCTCGTAATTCTTAACCTCTTGGTTTACCATCTGAATGAAAGGTGTTCGAACGAAAAGTAAAACGTAACGTGTAAGAAGAATCTTTACAAATTATTAAAAGAACACGCTACACGTGCTAATCTTTCGCTTAGGAATCAGACGTTGCGGGTGTTCTCTTCATTTTTTTCTTTTTTATTAACAAACAACTATATTACGAACAGATTTTGTCGTGCGCGTGGCAAAGAGAGAATCCCATACAATTGTGGGACTACGGTAGCGGAAAGTTGCTTGCTTCCTTGGAACCCGACAGCTATCCTTCCCTGCTCTACTGTGGCAAATACGTGTCGAACATGTTCATCGCTTGCGGTGGCACGGATACCAATCTCTTCAGAGTGATCGACTTGCGATCTCACGCCGTAAATACAGATTTCTCATACGGATTTCGTTCGCTCGCAGTGCACAGTCTTTCGGTAGAAACGATATAGTCAAGTCGTAAATTAAAATATCAATCTGCGTCTAAAGTCAGAACCATAGCGATCCGTTCTGAATATGCACATATGTATGTGTATGCACACGCGGCATAAAATCGGAACGCTTCGAACATGCTTCGATTCTTAAGGCTGTTGCGTCTTCGAAGTTCGATCGTAAGTTCCGAAAGAATCGGAAGTTTTCAAAGTATCGAAAGCCTCCTGACGATATTCCATACTTTGTAGTATACGGCAATAAATAATAAGACGTAGCATATGATAGCGTATAAAACATTAAATGTGCATCGAGATCTCAGACTTTTGGAATCTGGCACTTTCATTCGTTTCACACACTTCGTTCACACATCTATGCAACGTGTAACATAAAAAAGATAACGGGTATAAATTTGAAAATAGTTTTGGTCTCTTGGTCGCGTGAAATCTAAAATTACGTTTAAAAATGATCACTTTGCCAAAATTGAACTAAAATCAAAGTGCCAGCATTCCGTGCATCTGATATTTTACAAGTAGATTTTGATTAATCCCGACCTGAAATTCAAACCTATAGAATTACGTGATAATTTGCAGAAAAAAGTTGACAATTAGTAAGTCAAACAAGATATGATCAACGAACGCATCATGAAACTTTCGCATACTCGTACGGATAACGAAACGTCGTATTTTTAAATAACCTGACTATATCCCTTCCGTCGAGTATACTCGTTACGCAGATGATGACGACGACGATTATTTTTTCGACAGACGTTGGCGATGATCAGGAATTTAAGAGGTGGTACGTACAGCTTGGACACTGGCCCGATAAACCCAAAGCACGCAAAGAAAACGAGGACCATCTCCGTCGTACCACAACTTGCGTTCTGTGCTGGCAAGCGGATATTCGAGATAGACGCGCAACCAAGTTGATCGTCCATCTTTCTTCGGTCGCTCTGTGTCTTGTCCATGAAAATTAAACTCTGCCACGAAAGCGAATCGATGTTTTCTTTTTCTAGTTTGTAATTACGACACTAGATGCTAGATACGCGCTTAAGAAATAGTACAATTCGAATAGCGTAGATTTTCTTTGTTTCTTTCACCACGAAGATAATTTATGAAGAGAAATTTTTGGTTCGTTTCGTATCGGAATTGTATAAATTATACAAATTAGTTTAGCACATTAACGCTAGAAACACCAGAGCTTACTTTTCTTGACATTTCTCTGAAATATATTCGTTACTCTTATTTCAACGTCTCGAGGGATATCTGTCCCTGAAGACCTTCAACAGTTATCTTACTCTTTAGAAGCAAATAATTCGCGATAGCGAAAATAATAATATTTAAGTCGACTGGTACGTTCCAGTGTTTAACGTCACGCGGAACACCGATATTCGATAAAAATTTTCGAAAATGACGATACGAGCCACCGATGGTACACACAGCTCGAGAAGAATATCAACGCGAAGCCACAAAGAAAAAGGAAACGATCTAACGAATAATCAGTTTCGTGCTGAATATCAGTCGTAAAGCACAGCATTGGCAATGTAACATTTTTATTCTAACTTAATGTGTTACAGTTTTTCAGTAGCATTCGGTCTCAGGATAGCTTCACACCCCGGATCTGTTTCTTCCGAGGAAGAACGAACAGAGGTTAAAACAAACGTATGAGAAAATTATCCGCAAAATTATCTCAATAATAAAATATATCTCTACGCACACAGTGGTCGCGGCGCATCTTATCAAAAAATGAGCCTCGCATTCATCATCATCATCATCATCATCATCATCACCACCACCACCACCGTCGTCATCATTACCATCATCATCATCATTACCGTCATCATCACCACCACCATCATCATTATCATCATCATCATCATCATCATCAACAATCATCTTCATCATCATCTTCTTCATCATCATCATCGCCATCATCTTCATCATCAATCATCTTCATCATCATCATCATCATCATCATCATCATCATCAATTATCTTCATCTTCATCTTCATCTTCATCATCATCATCATCATCATCATTATCATCATTATCATTATCACCATCATCATGAACATCATCATCATCCATCATCTTCATCTTCATCTTCATCATCATGAACATCATCATCAATATTAGGACAGTAGTATAAAATTGGTCGACATGGCTTTGCGAATGCAAATAAGAATGAACGGTCCGATGATATGTCTAAGAACGACGAACGTTGATATCGAGCCGCGTTTCTCATTGTACTTTTTCAAGTTGCAATTACGGTAAAATCTTCGATAAACAATTATCGTCACTGGTCAATGAAGAAAAAGGGGAGAAGGAGCAAGGAGCATAAACAGGGAAAATGGGAACAGAAAGAGAAGAATAGAAGAAGAAATAAGACAGGACGATCGAACTGAAAAGCGAAAATGAAATATACATGAAAGAAATTGGATTCGCGCGACGATGCTTTACACACGATATACAAACTGACACGAGTATAAAGAGAGTAGAAGAACCGATCAAATCGTTCGAACGATTCGAGGCAGCTCCCCTCGGGATAAAGGGGAGTGTAGGGTGGGGGCGAGTTATTACTTTCGTCTCTCCTCGCATACTGTGCACCATTCTAATCACATCTTTCACTCTAAAATACTAATTAGTACAGTTTAAACGTTACACGTCGTCGTTCCGAGGTGTGTCTCTTTATATGTATAGAATCTGTATCTTGCATACGCCTCGGCGATCACAACGTAGACAGCAGAAGAAGGAGTCAGAGCGATATTTTAGTACATAACGCGAGGCCCGGACCTTTCGTTCACAGCCTGACCGGAGCCGACGCTATCTTGTGTCCCGATTCAAGAACACGCTGGCTCCAACTTCTACGCAACATCCCCGCATACACAACACATCACGTTTGATTCCAAGCCCATATTAGGTCTATTAGGTGACGACACGTCGTAGGAATAACAGTGTTTTCCGCGTCCTCCGAGAATTGTTGCATTTCCAGCTTAAAAAATAATTGAACTAATTAAGAGCAGGCCAAGGACACGTCTGACGAAGAAGGAACATAAAACGTTGAAGGACCTTGAACGTGCCTTTTTACAATTACATGTATACAGTCGTTGACGGTAGGACAAGGCACTTGTATCTTTTCGATATCCCTTGAAATCTATACCAACGTAGAAACTGGTCGTTTCTCTTTTGTCTTTCTTCCTTTTTCATTTTCACTTCGCTTATCAACTATGTATCTGCTTATCAAACTGCTTATTAAATATTCCACGCGAACATACTCTGCTGGACGAATACATAATATGTAGCGTTTAAATAGGATGGCGGTGATAAATACAATTAATTTCTAATTCACATTAATTTCTACCTAAAAATTTGGACAAAACGTAGTTTTTCAGAAGCTATTATTCGTTATTCGGGCTGTTCTTCGACATCGCAAATAATTAATACTTGCTCGTACAGGAATTAAAGAATACAAACCGTGTAAATTTTGCTCCAACAATAACACTAAAGCTAACGAATACAAAAACATCGCAAATGATTTTGCTCGCTCGCTCGCTCACACACACACACACACACACGCACGCACGCGCGCACGCACGCACGCACGCACGCACGCACACGCACACGCACACGCACACGCACAACACGCGCACACGCACAACACGCGCACACGCACAACACGCGCACACACACGCACGCACAAAAAGCATGGCTTTGCCAGGTAGATACGAAAAGCTTGTACACCGTGTCCGTTTGAAGAAGCATCGAAAAAATACGGGTGCTCTGTCGTATCGTCGCACAGCATAGTATAGGACGTTCTCGCAAAGATTAGAATTGTACATCGAAGAGATGGTGGGAAACGAATCTATAGAAAAATCCTGTGTCCCAGTCGATTTAGTCGTCGAGCTCGAAGAGAAACGATCCTCGACTCGTTGGCATCAAATAGAGATCACACGGTTTCACATCGTGGCCACGACAACGCAACATACCCATGCATTCAGGTACGAGCGCTTAGATTCGACTCAATGGGAGAGAGAAACAACCAAACGCGTAAACGTTTCCCTTTTTTCTTTTCTTACATGGTGTTGTAAACCGGACTGCTGTGCCTAGGCCTGACCTGCAGCCTGGCAAGAGGATGCGTCCTGCCGTGCTGTTGCTGCTTCTTACTAGCTGCCACAACACCAGCCGATGGGACTGGTGGCCTACCAGGTGCTTCCGGCGCTTCATTGAACAGAGGAGTAGACGAATGATTGTTAATCATGATCGGCGCAGACCTCCTACTATATTCTACACCAATTTTCGACTTGTTGCTGTGTTGTGAGTCCATCGACTCCCAATCCTTGTCTTTGTGCACACGCAGCTGGATCTCCGAGGACTTCCTGGACTCGGGCTTCACCTCGTACTTACCAACCAAAACTCTCACCGACCTGTCTTCCAAGTTGTCCTGAGTAGCCGTCATCGAGTCGGCGCACGACTTCTCTTTCTCTTTGACCTCGGACGGGGCTTGAATCTTCGATTCGTTGTGGGGAATCACCGGCGAGGAGGGCAAACTTCTGATCTTTACGTCCCTTTTCGGTCGACAGACCGTAATCGGCGAGTCGTTCTCGAAGCTGTTCTCCGGACTCTTTTCCGACTTCGTCGACTTCGCCTCGAATTCTTTCTTGAGATTCTTTACGATACCGGAGGTACTTCGCGGACACTCGGTATCTGGCGAGTCGTCTACCGACAAACAACGTTTGTTAAATATAGATTTGTTACTCAGGTTCTCCAAGACCATCTTGTGTTGCTTCACCGAAAGACACTGAGTAGTGTTGACCACGCACGGACTGGATGTTTCGCTCTCTGACCTGCAGGATCTCAAGGATAGGGGTAAGTCCGAGTCCGAAGAGAGAGAAGATGGCGCCGGAGCGCTCGTCGATAGTCTTCCAACTTGACGAACCGACGCTGGTGAGATGTCTATTCCTCTGATAGGACTTGGAGAATTTCTAACAGGATCTACCTTCAAACCGTGTTCCTGGCTAGGCGAGGAATCCCTCCTTCGTGGCGTTGGCGACGCGGTATGCTGAAGAAGTACCGGATTGTACGATTCTTCCTCGACTGGTAATCTGTCTTTCTCTTCCGTGTCGGAATTTTGCGTGCACACGCGTTTCACCGTCCCTGAGCTGGTGTTCTCCTCGAGCTTTTGCTTGGTACGTTTCACCGTGCCTGGGTGCCAAGGTATCTCCTCCTTGTCGTAAGGGAAGAGGCCACTGGATCCGAGCAGATCCGAAGGCCGCATGTCGTACGAGCCCCAAGAACTGTTCCTCGACGGTAACGTGGCCCAGGAGCTGTGCACCGAATTGTTGTCGAGGACTACGGCACTGTCGTAACTGCTCCAAGAGCTCTGTCGGCTCGGAGAGTCTCTCGTAACCGGCTCGCCTTGCCTTTCTTCCCGATCGAACACTCGGTCAACGTGCGTACTAAACGGGTCACCGTCCTTCTTGGTCTTTCGCGTTAACGTACCAGGATACACTGTCGTCGTTGTCGTTGTCGTGGTCGTCGTGGTCGTCGCGATACACTCACTCTCCGCACTCACTTCTCTGTTAGTCTTAGCGTTACTACACGAATTGGTACACGTTGCATCGGACGATGATGCAGTCCAGACTAGACATTCACTATTACTACCGACTTCCGTTCTCTTGCTTTGCTTCTCGCCGGGATCCCACACGCTTTGCTTCACTGCCACCGTAGACGAAGCTTCCGACGAAGGCTTCTGCATACCGAGTCCATTCTCGTTCAGTTCGCAGATCGGACTCTGTGGCAACGGTTTCCCGCCGTCTGAATCGGAACTCGGAGAAGACGGCTTGCTGCTGACTGCTTCGAATTGATTCGTCAGGTTCAGCACCAATCCTTTCCTCCTTTGACCCTGCTGCGTTTCTAACTTGCTAATTCGGTTCTTCACGGTCGGAGTGTCTGGCGAGGGACCTGGTAGGTGGACGATTTTGTTTTGAGATACGCTGTAAGATTGTCCGTTGCCGCATGGCATCAAAACGTTCCGAGCTTCTTGCGACATACTGGTCTTCTGGTTGTTGGAACGTAGCAAATCTTCTCTGGTCACTTCCGTACTTCCTGTCTTATCGATGCTTTCGAGGGACTGCGAAAGGGGAACTAAAAGGGAACGGAAACAGGTCGAGTTCGAGATTACAATATAAACATAACCTATAAAAATAGCATGCCATATTTAACAAAATGGAATTAAACGAGTAGTAAACGTACCAGAAGGCAACATGGTTTCGCTAATTTTCACATTCGGCGACCAACTTTTCGGCCTCTGGCTGGTCTTTTTTAATTCAAAGCCCGATACAGTTTGCAAATCATTGTCCACGTTGCCAGACTTTTCCTCCTTCTTCGACTGATCTTTCGTCGACGTGGGAGACTTCAAGTTCGTATCCGACTTGGACCTCTGAAGCTTCTCTTTGTTTTTCATCGCGTCCAGTATACCCTGATAGGTCTCCAGTTGCAGCAGAAAGCTGTTGTTAGGTTTGATGCAGTTCCGTTTCTCTTTTACGTGCTTCCAGGCTTGAGAGAAGTCCCAGTTATATGCTTTCATCGCGTACGCGATCACTACCGAGGCAGATCTTGACACTCCCATTTTACAGTGCACCAGCACTTTCGAACCTTCTTTCTTTGCCTTCGTGATGTATTTGAACGTATCGTCCCAGTGCTTCAGCAGATCGGTCTTTTCGTCGTCATACACGCGTACGTTCAAATACGTGAACATCCCGGGGAAGAAGTTGTCGATCTCTCGAGTTACGTTCAGGATATGCCTGACACTGTATATTAAAGAATTTTTAGTATAGGAAAGATTATTCAGAGATAATTGTGAATTATTATCAATCTGTACGTAGCGTAGCCAAACTTGTTCTTGGCGGTTCGATAACAATGGAACGAATATTTGTACGAGATAAATCCTTATTACGATATATTCGAATTTAACGTTACTCTACTATAATTGGAAAAATTAGGTCGTTCTCGAGTAAACAGCGCAAGCTTAAATGGACAGAACGGTCAACTGCAAATCGGATAAAGCTAAAAGGACGGAAGGATCTCGAGCGATAACAGGAAGAAAGGAACTCACCCATTCTTCTGGAGCTCCTCCAAGTTGCTTGCGTTCCACTCGCTTCCTAGATAAACGTGGTCAAATATTTCAGTCGGCGCGTCCATCTGACCCAGAATGGTGAGCATCTCCTGATCGATGAATGGCTTAAACTCCCCGAGATCCATGTCGAGGTCTTCCTCGAGACGACCTCGAATGTACTTCGAGGTTACCTCGTCGAGGTCCACGGACATCATGATCTCCTTCAACGTCGATCGGATCACGCGCTCAGTCTCGTCCCTTTCTCTGGGTCTGTCGCCAACGAATACATATTTAGAAACGAAAAAGGCCAAAATGTCCGAAATAAAATACACATTACGATATTTCAGGGACAAAAGAAATCTTTACTCGGGGGTATCGCTTTTTTAGTCGAGCCGAAAAAAGGTACGAATTTGCTTTAACATAAGCAGTATGGCGTAAATAGTCCTATAAAGTAACCAGAGATGGTAATTAACGAACTTACTTGGTGCGTACGCTGTCCGGCGACGGTGGTCTTCGAGATTCCAAGTTGTCCATAGTATGCCACTCGTTAAGACACGAGCGATCGCTCTCGATTCGTTGCTCATAGTAGCTGACCCAGTCGTGTGACAGCCCACCCAGGAAGTAGTTCTGTTCGCGTGCCTTACTCGACACTTTGTGCAACGTCTGCAAGGCCGACCTGTACAAAAGTTGCATGAAAATTTCAAATTATTATAATCGCTTGCTATCCTTCTGCAGGTTTGAGCATTTTAAAGATGGCCTCCTTGTTTAGGAAAGCTTTGGTCACCATCATGAAACCATTTACCACGATATGCTGCAAGAAAGTCAGAAAACTCGATGGAATGGAATTATCGCGGTAAGATCGAGGGATTTTCGCGTCTCTTATCGTTGATCGAAAATAACATTCCAGCACGGTAATCGCGAAAGGTTTATACATGCATTCCCTCGAAGAGGTGAGAGAGAAGTCATCGTCAACTTTTCGGTGACGAAGCAAAGCTTAGACCGAATGGTCAAAGAGAATTACTTATCTCGAACGCAAACCGCTTCCGCTTCCAGGCAACAGCAAATACATACTTGGTTGTCTTTCCTTTCTCAGTGGTTCGAGATCGTTATATTCGGTATAAAAGAAATTAGTTCTTCGTATCGCGACTCGTATGATTTTACTTCGATACAGTGGAATATTTCGCGCCAGCTTCCATCTATAACTGGATTCCATTTACGCACTTTTACACTTTCTACGCTGCAACTTTTAAATTACGATTTTTACATTTTCAAGCAATCGGTCATAAGGAAGATCGTGTTTTAACGATTAAATATATTATTCAGAGCTCTGTATCGGCGAATGCATTGCCGTTTCACGGACATCGCTAGGAAAATACCGACGCTTTAAACGGATAGACGTAATCGTTTCGCGGTTAAGATAGTAACCGATAAAATTACAACAGCGTGTTCCTATCAAGTCATTAATACGGAAACCATATCAACCAGATGATATATAAAAGCTTCGCAGTATCTAAGATATGCGCTATAAAGTTACTCGGTGCACAAAGCTTCAGGCGAAACAAAGGAACATTGCTCGATAAGAGCAGCAATTATATCAGCTGTTTCGTAATATTTGATATCGATATTGATTTGGCCCCGGCAGAGTAAAGCTAACAGGTAACTTCCCTTTTCATCTATCTTTATCTTTCCCTTCCCCTTCTTTTCCGCTTTTATTCTTTTCCTCCATCTTCGGCATAATTCCAGGTCAATCTCGCGCGACTGATTATCGATATTTTCTCGCAAATATCGCGAAAGATCCTTTCGTTTCTCCTTTGAACGATGAATCGGAGACTCCTGGAGCCTCGGATCGAACTCAGTCTCGGTTAAACGGATGACAAAATTGCCGGTGTATCGTTGGATGACGGTATCTAGTCAAAGAGAGATCCATCTGTGAACATTTCTACTCGAACAGTAGTCCGGTTTTTGCATTGAAAACGTAACAACGCGCAAATGACAAATGTTCGCAACGATGTCTGGCTACCTTGATAAATGACGAAATTTTGTGATCGCTCATCGTGATCGTTCGATCGTAGGACGAAGAGAGCAAAAAGTATCGTACGAAGAGAGAACGTTCCTTCTTCTCGCCTCTTACACGATTCCAGTTGATCGTTTAATTTTCTCTTAAAGTTCGAAGGTTGTCGTTTAACTCGTGTTTTCGTATTGTTCTTTTTTTTTTCGATGTAATCGCGTGTAAACTTTTGACAAGTTTCGATCGTCAGTGGCGATCAAAGTTGACATATTAATGGCCGCTGATATTAGATGCATATACATACTTTGTCTTTTTACCCTCGCCTTAATCGCAGCGAATTGCGGTTTTTTTTTTTTTTTTTTTTGAAATAATAGAAAGTTTCTACTTTAAGGTTTGCGCGAAATGTCGAGGAATGCCAACGTTCGATGGATTTTTCAATAGTCGATTTGCAGAACGAAATCCTTACGCATCTTATAAGATAAATAAATAAATATATACATAATTGAATCGCATGGCAAATTCACATCGCCAGTCCTAACTACATACTTATTTTTTTTTTTTTTTTCAAGAATCGCGACGATCCACATAACTCAATAAATCTCTCAACATAAGTTTTCATCGAGTCGAGCTCTTCTTAACCTAAGATATAAGGCAAATGTTAAATCTGTGTTTGTAACAGCCTCGAATAAATACGAATGTGGCGAGTTTAGCGAAAGCAATGTTTATCAAAAGAGAAGAGACAACGTATAAACATTCACACGCTTAGGCAGTAAGAAAACTTCGATCTAGTCGAATCTATCGAATCTACCAAACGCGAAAGACACTTTCAAGTAACAGTATTACGCATCGCGCAAGACCATCGTCGTTGACCATCAAACTCCAAATCTTTCGTCGTAAAACTTCATCGCGAATAAAACTCTTTGAACCGATGCTAAGTCGATCCTTTACGACTGTAGCTGAACTTTACCAGAGCCAGAATGCGATTTGGTTTTCTTTGCCAGCATTCTCGCTATAGGTTCGCGCGTTTCTCACGCCCGTCGATGAAACGGCGAAAGGAAAAACCGGCTGGTCGGAAATTCCCGTGAAAATCCAAGTCATAACGTTCCGAGGATCCAGATATCTAGGAAGAGCTCGCGCACCGTACCCAAGAAGATCGTATTGCGACGCGATTGGTAGGAGAATTTACGAACCACGCTCCTTAGGAAACCTAGGAAACCGCTAACGACAGATTAGCCGCGATAAACGGCACAAGACGGACGATCGCATCGTTTCTCTACGATAAAGATAACCAGTTGGCCGTGGTTAAGCGTCCAACGATTCGATTTGTTTGCACCTGACGGCGCGTGCATGCGTATATTTTCTCCTTCATCCTTGTTGTCCTTCTATCTAATTTATTTCGAGCTAGAGTAACTGCTCCGTAATTGCTTTTACGTCCTCGTTCGTTCGTTGTCTACCAACTTCTATTTACTCGAACAATGTACGTAACATTACCTGAGTTTCATATACGCAAACAAACAACGTGCTTCTATAATTAATTGGGGAAAATATCACCTTTACCCAATCGCCTTACCTTTCAAAATTACTTTGTCTCGAAGCGTTCTCATCTTATTTTCGATCATTTCGAAAAGCGTAGTATGTATAGCGTTTATGTAATAATCGGAGGAAAGTCGAAGAAATGTATCAAAGCGAATCTGAGGTAATAAGGAAACCGAAGCCGAAGAAATCCTCTCACGATTCACAAGCCCGGAACGAATGTTGCAAGATATTTAAGAAACGTGACGTAACTTGGTGATCTGTTATTCGGTATAAACTAACTTCTTAGGCAACTTCGTGAGGTAACTTTTCGAACAATCAGCAGTTTTTTGACGAACGAAACGACCGCCTCGAGCGGCGTGGTTTATTCCTAATCAACGGATCTTTCAACGATCGAAGCTTGCTTGTAAAATGCTGGAAATCCCGCGCTCCCTGAATATCCAACACCGAGATTACGCAAAAGTTTTACACGTAAAAATTATCGCTCTGTGTTACAACGAGCAAGTATCGTATGTAGATTTATAATATTTACCAATGCGATAGTTGGGTATAAAGGTAGTAATAGCTCTCATTTGAACTCCTTTATTTGAAAAATACTTGATACTTTCTTGCGTCATTACGTCAAGCATCGTTCTAACGGTGAAAGCGATCGATAACGCAGAAAATCCGCGGTACCTACGTTTGGTAGACGTTTTTGCTTGTACAGCCCCAAGGGAACGTGGCCTTAAAGATCTTAGTATCGAGCGTTTCGTAACTGTTACGACGTTGAGTGCGAACCGAGATCGTAGGGTCTGCGAAGCAGATGAATCAACGGATCAACGGATCGACGGATCGACTTCGAGTTAGAATATCATCCAGAAAAACGCGAGTTTCGTGTCTCGTTGTACGTAGAATTAAATTTAGACACCACGAGGTACGCTTAAGAGGCAGTTTATTTTTATCGGTATCTAGAGATAGCATACGATACGCTTGGATCGTCGAGTAAGCGTAGACCTTTCCCTTCCACTTCTTGCACAGTGATTAGATAAAACCGTTTCCGGCTTTTTTACGCTTCCGACGCGAACCATGCCAAGACCGTCGGACGTCTGGTCGATTTAACTCGTTCCTCGCCCTGTCGATCGAGAACAAGCCTTCGCATGGTTTTGCGTAACTGACAACAGTGACAACGATCCTCAACGACGAGGACGGTAAGCGTATTTATAATTAAACATTTTACGTAACGCGTTCACATTTAACCGGTACCGATTCTGTCGATAGCCTGGTTCAGCTTGGCCGATGCCAATTGCGGCTTTCGAGAACACAATCTTTCTTCTGCATAGAAATTCTACGCGTCTTACGCTTGTGTGCGAAGATAAAGATGGAACGTCAGACACTGATAGATCGTCGTATTAACGCGATAGAAATAGAGAAAAGCTATTTATACAGAGATATTTCTATCGCGACGTAACGTGAATTTAGGCTTGTGGCTTATGATCGAAACGACGAGGTATGACAAAACATACTTGTGTTTACCGATAGCGCAATTAAGAATCCTCGAGTCATCGAATTTTCTATTCGCCGATACTGGTCAAACTTACGAATGCTTTACACGTTGGTACCGTTCGACGTCCACGTGTTCGCGTTCAGGTAAGCGTAGCGTAAAAAGCACGACGAATCACGGACGATCGATTAATTACAAGTGGACGTTCTGTCGGTTTGCGCAACAAGCGAGGACGATAGCACGGTAGAGACTGAGACTCGAGGCGTAGCATCGTAATTATAATGTGTCGCGTCATCGGGTGATCCTAAATGGAACGGCCGATGAAGCAAGCAATGACGATTCGATTGCTCGATCACGAATCCAACTCGATGTCGTCGCCGTCCATCCGTTATGCGGTTAATTGATCGGAGACGACGAGAATCGACAAGAGTCGACGAGAATTCAACTTACCGCGAACCTGTTAACGCTGACTGAGGAAATGGACTTGAATATATTTATAGAACCGTCTTTCGATCCCTTTCCACATTTCCACAGGTAGTTTGATTCGAATTCTTAGAGAATCGTTTTGGCGAACGTAGTGCTCTCGCACGATTTGACAAGTTTATTCCAAGTACCGACAACTGAATGCTACTACTACTATTTGCATAATTATAAA